CCATATAAAGTGCCAACGCCCCCATCGCCCCCTAGAGTTAAATGGCGATGGGAGAGCCAAGTGAGCGGCGGCGCACCCAGATTAGTTACGCCGGGAAATATGCACGAGGCTAGCGAGGCACATGGAGCAGATTTAGAGAGGAGGGTGCTCGTTCAAGGCCGAAGAAACACATTCGGCCCAGGTTAGGCACGAGTCAGAGAGCATCTTGGACGTCGAGGCCTGCCAAGGCGAAGACGGAGGAGGAGTGGAGTTAGAGCGGCCGAGAAGATATTATGAGACGCGGAAGTTAGAGCTCCCAGGGAGAGAAGGCCCCGCGCGGAGCAGGTGCGTCCGCAGAGTTCCCATGGACCTTGATTCCAGAGAAATTTGGAGGACAGGGAAGTTAGCGAAATGCGAGGTGGAGAAAGAAGGAGATAATTTAAACGGGGATTTCGCAACTCCCTGACCACCTTCACGCGCAAGCCTACAGGACACGCCCAAGACCGTCACCGGGGGGCGCGCGCGAGGCTCGCGGGGAATCGGTTAACTCAGGCCAGTTCAAGGGAAGGATGCACTCGCGGTGCAGCGCGATGAAACAAACGCCAAAAACGCTGGCCTGGGACGACGCGTCAAGGGCCGAGTTAAACCCCGGGCTCACGGAGACAGCGCGTTTACTAGGAAATGGAACACATCCAGAAACATCAGGCGCATGAGCAAGTCATACAGAACCCGATTAGGAGCACAACGCGTCATGTATCATTCCGAAAAAAAAGAAACATCTTTGCGCCGACCCCATCGTTACAAACACGGACTGCGATTTCTCATGGCGCTCGCGGAAAGGGTTGGATACCAAAAGGGAGAAACGGAACCAGGAATAAAATTGGGACTCGCCGGTGCTAGGAAAGCGCATCTCTACGCAAAGGCGGACAAGGACATCTTTGTGGAGCTACCGGATGAAGATTAGATGAACCCGGAACGTGCGGAAGGCTATTCAAATCCATGTATGGCGCCCGCGACGCCGCGAGCACCATGGATTTCGCCCGGAAGGTCGGGTTCGCTGGCGGCGTGGCCTCGCCGCGCGTGCTCAGACGCGAAGGAAGGAAGATGCCGGCCCCGGCGCCCAGCGACGATCTTGGGCTTTTGGGAAGCAACCAAGATGCAGATGAATACGAAGAAGAGATTAGACAGGCGTGCGAGGTACAGGCCCGAGAATGATTAGGGCCGGGAATAGGAGTGGAACCGAGATGGATCACGGTACCACGTTGACCAAAGGCACGGCAAAATAATAGTTAAAGGATAGAGCGATTGGAAAAGGGAAATCAGTTTTTCTTGCAAATAAATACGGAGCGCTCCCGGCGGAAAGCTGCCCGCCAACGACGTCGATGAGGAAGAAGTATCTGCTCGAGCCACCCGCAGATACCAGGCGCTAGTAGCACGCGCAAACTATTTGGCGCGGGATAAACCAGACATCAAACGCGCGGTGAAGGAGTTAGCCAGGCACGAGGCCAAGCCGACGTTTGGAGCCTGGAAGAACCTCGAAACGTTTCGAAATTACCTGATGGGCCAAAGTAGATACAGTCATCAGTGCAAGTGCCAAGTCTTACACTAGGAGTCAGCGGCGCGGACCGATGCTACGCCATGTGCGGGAGAAGCCCCAAGTCAACAAGCAGGGGGGTGGCTGCGCGGGGAGATCATCTCATTGAGTCGCGGAGGAATGCCCACATTGTTATTGCATTGTCATCTGGAGAAGCGGAGCAGTATGGAATGGTCAAGGGTGGCTCGACTGAATGAGGCCCCCGACACAGATAATCATCAAGAGCGCTGCTACAGCCGCAATCGCCATCGCTAGTAGAAGAGGGTAGGACAAGTCAGACACACAGAAGTCGGCCAGCTGCGGCTGCAGGCAAGAGTAGGACGTGCGACACTCGAGCAGTCAAAGTAGGTACAAGTGGCAATATTGCCGACGCATTATCCAGGTGCGTCAGCAGCGAGTCGCTCGCCAAACACACGCGGGCCACCAACCGCACCGCATGGCAGGGGGCGAGGGGCGGACGTTAGCGCGAGCCGCTCAGTGCCGATATGTCCCGCAGCAGTTCGCGGCCCAAATTATCGCGGTCAGTCACGACTCCCCCTCCCCATCCAGATCCTCGGCGGCAGTTGTTCCGCGCGCTGGCATGGCGAGCGGCAGCGGCGGTCCAGCTGTTCCCGATAGCGCAGCTGTTCACGATGAGTCGTCGGCGCCCGACGGCCCGCGGGGGTCGCCCGCGCGGTCGACGGCAAGACGGTGTTCGCAAGAGGGGGCAGATGCGAGGGCGCCACGTTAAACCAGGCATGGAAGAGGCTCGACGATCAGAACAGCACAATGAACGCCATGGCCGGCAACACCACCGCTGCGAACTACTCGGCGAAGGTTCAGCGGCAGCGAGATACGTTGGAGACGCAGGCGGAGACGCTGGAGGCGAAAGTGGATGCGCTTAGCTGGGCTAGAAAAGAAGAGAACGAGAGGCGCCTGGTAAAACTCCGCAAATTCGCGGGCAACATGCCAGCAGCGGTCGAGTTAGCCCGTCAAATCGGTGAGAGCGTCTGCGCGTTACCTCAACCGGCGCAGTACCACAACAAGCGCGTCGTTGCCAATGCCGCGGACGAAAATGAGAGCCGCGCATAATTGGCGGCACGCGGTTCGTTAGCCGACGTCGACATAATGGCCCCCCGCTGGGGGCCAGGGCCCCGCCCCCTCCGACGCCGACGGCGCCACCTCGTGCCCAGCCCCCGCCGGCTAAAAGGGCCCCCAAGGCAGCGTCGGCAGGGCTGGCGAAGACGGAGTCGCTAACCGAAGCTGGGCCTCCGCCCCTAGCCGCGCCGAAGGGCTTCGGGGGGCCGCCGACGTCGAATGCGATTTCCCGGGACATCGACCCCAACTTGCCGTTCAGACAGGCGCCGCCAACTGCTAGACTGGCAGAGCACTGGGGGGGGGCGAGAGCAAGCGCGAGCGCTCCGCGCGCAAATCCCCAGCGAGAATCGACTTCGCCCCCGCGGCTAGGGCGCTCGGCGGGGGCGGGGCAGCCAGCGGCAGCGAAGGGTCAATTGGAGCACCCGGCGGAGACGCCACAGCCCCGCCAGGAGGGTCAGAGGCCCCACCATTGGAGGGCCAGGCGAGACTTCCAGCGCGCGCACGACGCGTCGTCAACTATCGCATGCGTTCGCAGCTGTGCGCCGCGGCCGCGCGTTAAAGACGTAGACGATGAGGAGTTTGATCCAAACGTCGCTGTTACACCCTCTGATCACGATTGGACCACGCAGGCCGCGCGCGATTTCTGGAGGAGTTGCAGCGGCCACTGGGTCGACGACCGGAACGAACGGGATTTGTTAACCTCGACGGGGCAAGTCATCAGCAGCGAGGACTGCCTGGACTTCTGGTATAGTTATCAGTTCCGCTACGGCGATGCTTACAAACCATTGCCGCTACACCGCCTCGAGGGCTCACCCGCCTGGAAGTCGGAGTTAACGACCTATCTTCGGGAGATGCGCGATCAGTGGCCCCAGCGCTCGTGCCACCCCCACGCCAAGTTTCCCCAGAATGTTCGGCCTCCGTTTGATCCGGAATACCTCGACAGGGCATCTACTAAGTTAAAGCATCACCTCTCGGCAGGATGTGCCCATGGCCCAGGTATTCGTTCAAGCGTGTCCAGGAATGCAAGAGAACGAGTTTCTGAACATACCCGGTACAATGTTTGGCATGTCATGGGCTGGCAATCAATCCCATGGCGCTGGCCACCGAGGTTGTTCATGAGGAATCCCCCTCCAACCAGGGCCCAGTCAGCACTGGGGCAGTTATCATACGGTTCGCCACGGAGGAGATGGCCGAGCTTCTCATTCAGCTCGCGGATGGGCTGGTTATGTCTCACGATCAGTATCAAGTGCCCATGAAGTTGAACAGGAACGAGTTTAGGACACTGCAGCCGGCTCTTGGAATCCGCTGGTACCAGATTCATTGATTGGTAGCTGTTTTCACAAAGCGAGGGGTTGTCGACTCCCGCCGTGGCGCGTTCCCAGTCAACGATGTCCGTCATCGACCCAAGCAAGCACCGCAATGAGGCGGCGTTCTGGCAGGCGTGGTTTCAGGTTGCCGACTTCAGGCCTTTGGTTAACGGGGCCGGTGGCTCGCGGACCCGAAAACGGGTCACGAGGTAATTCGTTTCCGCCGGTACAACACGGCCATCCCATGTTACCTTCTCAACACGGACCCGAATTTTCGAGAAGCGATGGGTCGATTCGGAAATCTCGTGGATGGCAGCACAACGAGCACGACCTGTCGCCACACATAAGTGACCCCAACGATGAGGCGAAGCGTCACCCCATCTTCAGCTCCAGTTTCACTCCGAAGCATCCGAGGCAGCGAGGAGGCAGGTCCGTTGGCCGTCCGCACCGCCGCTGTGATGTCGTGTTATTTCTCCGTACCCTTCTCCACGCAGCTATATATCATTGAAGATATTTGTTGCTCTATATCACTTGCACTCTGCGGTAAATAGAAAGTGCATCGCGCGTTAGGAAGCCCCTGCGCGTTTACGCCACACTGATGAGCCCCCCTCGACTTGCGCAGTTATGCCTGTTACCCGTTCGTGCACTTCTTCGAACTGGGTTGGAGACTCGGCGTACCCTAGCTCATATGTGTTAGCCCTTGTCCAGCATGCTGCTTCAATATTTTCCCCGTGGCTTGTTTTCGGCCGATCCGGCCGAGGGTGGATGTGAGAACATAGTTTAGCGATTGGGCCAGGAGCTTATCATTACGTTCGAATCGGACGGTTGTTACCAACGCCATTGGCTCAAGTACCCATCATCGGATCGTGTCACAGGTTCGTTGTTAAAACATTTGTCCCATTACAAGTGAACCGTTCCCGTGCAACTCTTCCTCCGGAACTTGCAGGAGGAGGAGAAGGAGGCGGAGGCGGAAGCAGAGGCGCAGGCGGAGGAGGAACAGGAGGAGCGAGGAGTGAAGAGGAGGAGGGGGAGTTCACCCAGAGGCAACCGCGGGGCGGGGGCTCGACGTGGGCGCCATCGTCCTCGCCGGGGCTCTCCTCCAGCGGTTCGAGCAGGCGTGGCGCGAAGCCGTGCCGATCTCCTCGAGCAAGCGGCCCGAGCAGGTGGCCCGGGCCGCCAAAATGTGCTGAGAGGTTCGGTCCCGGACGCTCCCGGGCGTTCTCGGCCTCTGGGGGGCCCCTCGCCCCGCCCCCAGACTGCCCAAGACAGCCCCAACACGTGCGAGAAGGGCCGCGAGAGGCCTCCAAGAGGGCCCCAAACGCGGACAGATCGTTCGAACGCATCCAAGACGGCCTCCAGATGGCCCAAAAGGCTTCCGACACGGCCCAATGGGATCTCCAAGAGCATTCCTCCAAGGGTTCCAAGTTGATTTCCCTTGAGTTTGTGATGGAGTTCGGCAATTCTGCCTGTTCGGCGCCCCGACGCTCCAAGATTGCCCCGGACACCCAAATATCGCCCCAACAGGCCCCCACGAGGGCGCCGAGACGGCCCACGCCTTGCCGCGGGCACGATGCGGGGCCTGGGACGGGGCCCTCGGACAGGGGGGCCCCCGGGGCCTTGCCGTGGGACAAACCGAAAATCCAAGCCTTCCACCCCGAGAGGCTCTCAGGAAGCCCCATGAGACCCCCAATAGAATCCAAGAGGCCTTCAAGAAGCTCCCCAGAGGGCCGAAGAGTTTCCAAGAGGTCTCCCAAGAAGACCCCGAAGAGGCACAACTCATTGTTTCCAATGATCGTTGAAGGTTTTTAAAGTTTATGGATTTAAGAGTTGTAAGCTGTTGGCATCACGACGCTCCAAGATGGCCCAAGAGGCCTCCAAGGCCGCTCCAAGATAGCCGAAGAAGCCTCCAAGAAAGCGCCAAGACCCGAGGCGCCTAAGAGGGCCCGTGAGGGCCCCAAGACGGCCCCAAGAGAGGCCCAAGAAGGGGAACGCGAATCCAACAGCAGAGCCTTCCGCCCTAAAAGGCCCACAGGAGGTCCCAAGAGTCTCCAAGTGGTCCGACGAGGCGATAATAATTGCACAAGGGGCCCCAGGGCCCTCGATGCATTAAAATTGCCTCCAGGCGGATTGCCTCAATGTGGCCCCAGTTGGCCTCAAGTCGGGCCTCCACGCAACCAAGACGGCCAATGACGACTTCAGGTTGCACAACATCACCTTCCATTTGCCGGGAGAACCCCGATGATGCCCCCAAGGGACCCTCAAGACGCCCCCCCCAAGAAGCACCCAAGAGGTGTTTCCAACAGCCAATTGAGGATGCACGGAGAACCACCAAGAAGCCCTTCAGATGCCCCCACGAAGACCCAAGAGGTTCCCAAGAGGCCCTCAGAAGGCACGACTATGACTCGCCTGTGATTGATAGCGTTGTCCAAGATCTTCCAGCGCCCCCCCGGCCTGGGCTAGAACCTGAGCGCGCGCGAAGCGCACGCCAGGGTTTTTGCGTGTGTATACACATAGATTATATATATATATATATATATATATATATATATTGTAACAGATTAGGGCCAGGGACCCCGGACAGGGCCCCCCCGAACAAATTTCGGATTCCTTGGGTTGCTCGGAAGCCCCCCCGTGCTGCTCGGACGCGCTTGCAAAGGGTTCATGTCGGCATTCTGGCCTTCTCAGAGGGTCCAAAGAGGCCTCCAAGATTGCCCAAGACAGCTCGTCGACAGCTCCAAAGCACACCAAGACGCCCAAGAGGCGTCTAAAACGCACCCACACACGTCCACGAGGCCTCCAGATAGAACCCGCATAATTTAACATCGTCCATGTCCCTTCGGTTTTGAAGGATTTCGACATCCTCACCTTCTCGCGCTGCTACGCTCCAAGACGGCCAAAGAAATGCCAGAAGCCACCCCAAGAGCGGCTCAAAACGACCTACGCGGGCTTCAAGACGGCCCATGAAGCCCCCAAAAGGCTTGGCCCAAAAGGCTCAACCCAAGAGGGCCCTTAGACGGCCTAAGAGAACGCCAAAACGGCCCCCAACACGACCAAAACGGGCCAAGGCAGCCTCAAGAAGGTTCCAAAAAAGGCCAGGGAAGGGACCACGAACTCACACTTCGAACCTACCGCCTCAAGATCGCCCCAGGATCTTCCCAGGGGCTTCCCCTGCGCCCCCGCGAAGCCCCAAGAGGCCCTGCTGTTTGCCTCTTGGGCCCTTTTGGGAGTGTTCTTGGAGGCCTCTTGGGGCGTCATGGGGGCCTTTTGGGCCGTCTGGAGGCCATCTTGGGCGTCTTGGAGCGATCATCGGGCGTCTCGGGACCGTATTGGGGGCCTCTTGGGGTCCTTTGAGACGATCCTGAGAGCTTTCAAGACGGGCCCCGGGCACTGCTGCTCAAGGATCCTTGAGCAGCAGTGCCCGGGGTATGTTGGACCGGGCACCCCCCGCGGCCGCACCGCGCGCGCGAACTAGAAACTCTAGAAGTTGTTACCGAAGCTCTTAGCATGCCTCTGGCCCGTTGGACCAGCGAACTTTTCGTTACTCCCCGCGCGCGCAGGCGCGTGCACATTTTATGTGCACATGCATACATACATGCATGCGTATACACGTAGACATATACAAGTATACATGGTACAGATGCATGCGCATTCATAGTTCACGTTACGTGTACATTAGCATGCACATACACACATCTGCATCGATATCTACATATACAAACACCATATCCATATGTGTATGTGTATATAGATGCACAATGTGCATGCACGTGCGCGTGCACACATGCATGCGCATACTTAGGCGCGAATGTACAAGCGCACACCCGCCGCCTGCGCGCGAAACTCAGAGGACCAAGTTGCATGGCCCGAAGCGCCAATGCAGTATTGTATGGATAGATGCGTATGAAGTGTATGTGCGCCTGTATGTAAAAATATGTATACACGTACATATGCGTCTGTACACACATCAAGAAACAAACAAGCAAGCAAGCAATCAAACATAGTACATCGAGGCGTGAGGTGATCGAGCAGTTCGAGCGGCATCTGCGGAGCCGGATCCGACAACACCTGAGGCCGCAGGCTCGTTCTGCGGCCTGAGCTTTTTTGCGCCACGGTGGGCGCGTCTCATCCTCCTCCTCGTCCTCGTCCTCCTCCTCGTGTTGCCAAGAGAGCAGGCCCATTCGATCCCCTTTTGCTCTGCCGACTCGAACTCGTCAGCTCTTGCCTCCTTGCAGGCTGTCGCATTGCCCCTCGGCGGTGCTCGACCATGGCGGCAGCGGCCGCGATGATGAGGACATGACGTGGCCCCCCTTTATGATGCTCCAACATCCGAGGACCTCCTCCTCCCCCTCCTCCTCTTCCTCCTCCTCCTCTTCCTCCTCCTCTTCCTCCTCCTCCTCCAAGTCCTCCTCCCCCTCGCCTTCCCCTGTGTGATTCGCTGTCTCACCAGACGTTGTTGCGTGCACTTGCCCTGGGAGCAGGCGGAGGGAGAACGGGCGGGACGGGCCTTTGTGAGGGCGGCCGTAAGCCCATGTGAGAGGTCCCAATTCTCTCAGGGCCAGACAAGTACACCGTACATCCTTTAGACTCTTCGCGTAATCCCACCAGCTCATTCAGAAACGATGCCAAGGGGAGCTACCCTCATCAGAGGCGTGGAGGAGCATTATGTGGAATACAGGGCTGGGGAAGCCGTCATACCCCAAGAGGGGGAGGGTGGAGGAGGAATCGGAGGAGGGGGAGGAGGAGGAGGAGGAATAGGCAGACGAGGAAGAGGAGGAGAACGAAAAGGAGGAGGAGGAGGAGGGCGAGCGGAAAGGCAAGAGGCCTCTTGAATGCCTCTCGTAGTATCTTCGGATGTCTCTTGAGATCGTCTTGGAGTACTCTTGAGGCGTCTTGGGGGCCTTTTGGCGGTCCCGGGTGCCTCTTGGAGCGTCTTGGGTCCTTCGGGGAAGCATCTTGGAGCCTCTTGGGGGTCTCTTGGGAGCCGCTTGGGGACCTCTTGGGGGCCTCTCGCGGGGCCTGCTGGGCTCCTCTTGAGCCATCCTGGGGCACCCTTGGGAGCCTGGGGAGCCGTCTTGGAGGAGCTCGATCAAAGAATGGGGGGTACTTAATCAGTTTCCCCCCCCAGAAGGCCAGCATTGGCCCAACATCGTACGAAAGTAAATGATTTCTTGGTTCTTCGGCGAGGCCATCTTGGACGCTCTAACCGCTCGCGCCCCCCACCCGTATAGGTCCAGGGGAGGGCGCAGAGGAAGGGGTCAAGCTACCCCGAGCCGCAACCCGTGTCGCTCACTCCCAGCTGCCCTCCCATTACAGAAGTAGCACCCGAGTCTCAGAACAGGCAGGGGCCGCCATCGACCGCCATCGGGAACCAATGCAGACGCCAGATGCGCGATGCCTGCGAGGTGCGCCGCACCCAGGTGCGCCACATTGGGCAAGATGTCGACCGCCCCACCGTTCCTGTCAATGACGGCGGGTTCGCGAGCATTGTGTATTGTGCGTGGGTGTGCTTAAGGGGAAAAAAACACGTTTTTATTTCCGCCAGTGCTTAAGAACAAATGTGTATTGTGTGTGGGTGTGCACCCGCAGCTATGTTGCATGTGTTTTGACATGGATGGCCTGCGCGCAGCAGGCAGTAAACCACCCCCGTCGCCGTCTCTGGCAAAGTGCATTGTTATATGTTGAAGGGTGGTGGGCATGCACGCAACAGGCAATGTGCCCTCGCCGCCCCTGCCAAAAACCAATGCAAAATGATCGTGGGGCGCCCACGCATGATCCAGATGTTGGTGCAAAGTGCACTTTGTATTGTTCTGTGCGGGGGATTGTTGGAGGGTGTTGGCATTGTACACAGCGGGCAAGATGCCAGCCCCCCCTGCGGCCCATGCCTAAACAAATGCAAAGGAACCGCGAGGCGTCCGCGCATGATCCAGATTATGGTTGAAAGTGCCGGTGGCATTGTCTTTTGTAAGACATGACGGGGGGGGGCATTACACACAGCAGGCAATTTGTTGGCTCCCCAGCCGTCCCTTTCAAGAGCCTATGCACTGTCATCGCGGGGCGTCCACGCATGATCCAGAGTCTGGTGCAAAGTGCATTGTGCATTGTTTCCCACATGTGTTTTAGCATAAGGGGTTCTTACCTGGCCATGAGAATTGGTGTTCCGAGACATCTGCCGGCTTTGCCGATGCGGCTGTTGCTCGGTTTTAATTTGTTGATGAGGTTGCCGTTGATGTGGCTGCTGCTGAAGTCGCCACTGCTGCTCAGAATGCGGGCTCATGCCGTCATTGCTGTTCATGTGTTTTTTATGTTGTTGTGCCATGAGGCCTCTGCCGGCTCTGTAGGCTGGTCATGTGTTTGTTATGGTGGTGTGATAGTTGGTATGACTTGTTATTGTTGTTGATATATTGTTGGCATTTTCTCGTCATTCCATAATGCATGCAGTTCTTGCTGATGCTGCCATTGCTCCTCATATCGCTGCTCATGGTGTGGATGCTGCTCCTGCGATGATGTTGTTGTTGATGCTGTTTTCAATGCTGTTACCTAAACATTCGCAGACTTTTTTTTTCTAGATCTCCCTTGCTACGACGGGGAAAAATTATTTGCTGCGCGGGCTTACTGACGAATTGGGACCAGAAGTCAGATTTGGGCGGGGGGGAAAGACACTCCCGCGGCGACCACTGCTGGCGTCCCTGAAGAGTCTTAGGAGCCTCAGGATTCCCAAACGATTCCTAGCGATTCGTAGGATGCGTACGGCTTCATACGGGTCCGCAAGGATCCCTAAGGATTCGTAGGATTCCTAAGGATAGGAACCCTTCGTAGGAGTCCAAGGGCGAGGAGGGAGCGCGAGGAAGAGGGCGAGGAGGGGAAGGGCGAGGAGGGGAGCACGAGGAGGAGGGCCAGGAGGGAGAGCGAGGAGGAGGAGGAGGAGGAGGAGGGCGAGGGCGGGACGACTATTCCCCGCCGAGAGCTTACGGGGAGGGGGGGGGCCCGCCATCATGAAAGACCCTCCGCGGTCAGGCTTAAGGATCTTCCGTTATCCATCATCACTAAGACCCTCTATCTTCCTCGGTCAGGGCCCATGTATCTTCAAACCATGTACCTTTGCATATTTTAAAGACCCTTCCATCATCCATCCATCCATCTTCCGCGGTCAGGGCCCCGCCATCATTATAGACCTTCCGCGATCAGGCTTTGGCATAAGGGGGTATCACTTGGCATTAAGGCTTGCGTGATCGGAGACCTCTGCCAGCTCTGGGGGCCAGCTGTGGGCCGGGCGCTTTGGCCCTCGAAGGGTGGCGACCCCCATAGGGATGGCGCCCCTCCCGGTGTGCCGGAGGCCTCTGCCCGCTCTGTGGGCCAGCTGTGGGCCGGGCGCCTTGGCATTCGAAACGTGGCGACCCTCACAAGGATGACGCCCCTCCTGGCGGGCTGGAGGCCTCTGCCAGCTTTGTGGGCCAATTCTGGGCCGGGCCCTTGAGCCGGGCGCTCTGGCCTTCAAAAGGCAGCGATCCTCACGATCACGAGGATGACGCCTTTCCTGGTGGGCCGGAGGCTTCTGCCGATTTTGTGGACCAATTGTGGGTTGGTCGCTCTGGTCTTCAAATAGTGGCGACCTTCTCAAGGATAACGCCCCTCCTGGTAGGCTGGAGAGCAGAAGTGATATTGCGGCGTGGAGACATAACCATATTTGGGATCGACGTTGCTCTTGGTGATTGTTCTTACCCGCGGGATTGACGACGCGGCAGTCCTCTGACAGCTTTTTGAAGAGTACGAGCGGATCTCGGGACCCAAGCTCCATCGTGGGAACAGTGTCTGGCTCCCGCTGTGTCTGACCCCATCTACCCCAGGTCCGCCAGCAACTTGCCAGCGCCGCCCCCTCGTGGGGCGACGTCGCTATCCAGCGCTACGCCACGTATCTTGGATTTGTCGTTGGGTCCGCGCAGGCGGAGCACTCCTGGACGAAGGCCATGGAGAAATTCCTGCTGAGGGTACGCATATGGCGAACATTGGCGGCGGCCTCCTCCTGACCATCCTTGCGTACCGTATCTACGTATTCCTGGTCCTGATTTTCTTGCTCCAGCTGGACCGCTTGCCGTCGAATTGGCCCGCGATCGAGCAGAGGCCATCACCATTTTATTCCCAGGCCCACGTGCGCGGACGTCACCTGGTGCCATGCGGAATTTGACGGCGTTGGGGTTTCCTCTGGAACTCCCTACGGCCAGCGCCGTAGCATCTGCTGCAAAGTGCCGGGTGCATCGCTGGGTAAATCATCATCATCAAGGTGGTTTGGAAATCGTGGTCGTCAGGCCGCTCTTCGTTCACTCCGGTACCGTTCCGATCATCTTCTGCACATGGGAGCTTGGGCCGATTGGTATACGCACAACTTCTTCCAGAACTTCAGGACGCGCAGGACGCATTGTGCCAGACTGCGCAGGACGCGGGCTTACCGTCGGGGCGCTGCTACAAGGAGGAGCTTCTGAACCGGTCCCGTGCGCCCGCTGGCAGCGCAGATATGCCGTTGTTCTCGACATTCGTAGCCCTTGCAGCGCGTTCCTTCCTCTCTCTCTCCCTCTCTGACTCGCTCCCCCTTCCCTATATCCTCCCCAGCTACAGGCTTGAACGGGCCACGGCAGCCTTGATCAGAATATCGAGGCTGTTGCTTTCCAGAGTATGGGCCGCCGTGCACAGGGCACTCCAGAACGGCTGGGTTATTGGCCGACGCATGCAGCGAGGCGCGGATTGATTCTTGAATCGCGGGGGCGGCGATGATAGCATGAAGCACTACGCATTATGCCCGCAAGTGGCGTGCTTTTGCCGCGCACGACTCGGACTAGTGCAGCCTGCACCTTCGAAGCGCCTTTCCTCCTTCCTCCTGCTCTCCCCATCCGCTCCGCGATGCCACGGCAAGTGTGCATGCACGCCGGGCGCTGGCGCTGCACTGCGTCTATTCCACTACAGACGAGGCGCGGCACAGCCAGACGCCAAGCGCGCACACCTCTTTGGACCAATTTGCTGGGGAGACGTGTACAGTGCATTCCAGACTCGCGGGAAGTGTTGCCACAGTTCGGGAGTCCAGCTGAGTTGCATCCTCCCCGCCCGTCGGTCGTGTGCCTCCCCGCCTGTCGCACTTGGGTGCTACTCTCGATGTTTGAACTTCCTGCATGGTCATGCCTGGCCGCTATGTGGGGACGCGGTCGTTACACGTTCTCACAGTTGCAGTATGTTCAATCGATTGGGATTTAGTGTGGGTGTTGTTTAATTCCTTGCTAAGTTGTATTGCCCTCTCTGTCCCCCTTTCTCTTCTCATCCTCCTC